CGGCGGCGTCGGGGCCCTTTTGCTTGCGTTGCTTGCGACCGACGCGGGAAGGAGGGGCCGAGGGCTCGAATTTCTTGTCCTTTTTGCTGTCGCCATCGTTCTTGCGGTCGCCGGGGAAATTATGCTTGTTGAGACCGCCCGGAGTTCCTTGGCCCATGGCAGCAGCGGTGATCGGAGATTGGTCTAGGGTTTGGGGGAGGGGGAGAAGAAGGCCAGAGAAGGGGAGAGGATTTTTTGGGCGTCGGCTCGGGATGAATGGGAAGGGACTTTTGCATATATACCCATCAAAGTTTTCATATTCGCATAGTTATCTTACAAATCTTAATATTTGCAAATTTGCCTCCAATCCCCTCATATCGATTTTTTTTTCTACCTTTCACTTTACAGTTTTAGTTTTTTACATAGGAAATTGCAGCGAGCCTATTAGAAGTTAGGGAAAAATGTGTTCAGGCCCCAAAAACAGAAGCTTTATGTGCTGCAGCCCCTTCTAGTTTCCCCCATGTGGTTCAGCCCCTTGAAATGTGACATTTTATGCCACAGCCCCTTTTTAACAATTATTACATGACAACTAAGCTAAAATCCCCAAAATAACCTTATCCCCTCTCCTCAATCCTTCAAACCCAGTTCTCTCTCTCTCTCTCTCTCTCTCTCTCTCTCTCTCTCTTTAAAAACAAGGGCTTTCTCAAGCTCGTCGCTCTGGCCCTCGCCCTCCTCGCCGTCGCCACCTCCGCTCAGGCTCCCAAGCCTCCCCTGAGTTCGTCGCCGCCTCCCCTCCTCTCCTCCGCCCGACCTCATCGCGGTAGCTCGTCGTCGCTCTCCGTCTCGCCCTCGACTATGCCGGAGTTCGCCGCTGTGCCTGCCACTTTTGAACCCTATAGTATGGTAGGCCGGAGGAGGATGACCAAGAGAAAAGAGTGCATGATGCCCAAGAAAAGTAAAAATGAAGGGGCTGCAGCCACAATGTCACTCTTTTTTTTTTTGGAATTTGATGAGAAGTCGCTGCTTGTTAAGGAGATTGTTAGTCAAGATGGTTAAAATTAGAACTAACGTGTTATAAAATAGAACTAACTTGGTATAAAATAGAACTAACATTGTATAAATTAGAACTAACTTGGTATAAATTAGAACTAACGTGGTATAAATTAGAACTAACGTGGTTAAAATTAGAACTAATTTGTTATAAATTAGAACTACCTTGTTATAAATTAGAACTAATATGGTTAAAATTAGAACTAACGTGGTATAAAATAAAACTAACTTGATATAAATTAGACCTAACACGGTATAAAATAGAACTAACGTGGTATAAATTAGAACTAACTTGATATAAATTAGAATTAACGTGGTATAAAATAGAACTAACGTGGTATAAATTAGAACTAACGCAGTGTAAAATAGAACTAACGTGATATAAATTAGAACTAATTTAGTATAAATTAGAACTAATTTGGTATAAATTAGAACTAACATGGTATAGAATAGAACTAACATTGTGCAGTTTAGAACTAACACGCTACAGAATAGAACTAACACTGTGCAGATTAGAACTAACAGTGTAGACAGAATAGAACTAACATTGTGCAGATTAGAACTAACACTGTAGACAGAATAGAACTAACAGTGTAGACAGAATAGAACTAACAGTGTGCAGATTAGAACTAACACTGTAGACAGAATAGAACTAACATTGTAGACAAAATAGAACTAACATTGTAGACAGAATAGAACTAACATTGTGCAGATTAGAACTAACACTGTAGACAGAATAGAACTAACATTGTAGACAGAATAGAACTAACATTGTGCAGATTAGAACTAATATGGTTAAAATTAGAACTAACGTGGTATAAAAAAAACAGAATGCATTACAAGTTTACAATGTGATTAATTTAATTTTAAAGGGGTCAGAAAAAGGTTGTTATCATGTTTGGAGTCTTTCCGCCATAGACCAAATAGAATTTACTTGCAATAGAATACCCCTTTATAATACTTGAATATTTAGGCACCAAACAAGTTGATCAGCAAAATCCAATAATTAATTACATGAATGCTAAATTACACTGCCTCTCAAAATTAAGACAATGCTCTGCAATAGTCACAAAACTTGAGATAACAAATCGTTTGATGGCTGAAGCTACAAACAATTAAAAAAACAGTGATAGCTAATTCTTTATAGGCTAATAAAGAACACAGTGATAAATTAAGTAGAGACCTTCTTGTTAGGCTCAGACACGTACTTCACAAGAGAATCTTAGATTGAAAGCAGCTGAGGAAGGCTACTACTCCAACTTTGAAGCATCCATTTCATTATTGCTCCTCGCTGCAACTATAACTTTCGCCTGCTCGATCCTCCAGTGTAAAGTTCGCCCGCTTATATTTAGAAAATTAATGTACTTTTTGTACATCTCAAGGATCTCATTGTCGCTAACAACAACAGGATTGGTGAAATTCCAGATTAATTCCCTTAAGGTTTCTCTTTGCCATCTTAACCGAAATAGGAAGAAGCTCATCTAAGACAGTCATACTGTTCGGTATGTTCACCACTTTGTCGTATCGAGATATCCTCGTGATGAAGTTTCGTGGATTGCTAAGGTCAGAAGGGATTGGCATTCGAACTCTCAGGGTACCTACGTTGTCATAGTTTTTCAGACGCTCTTCTTACGTGAAAACAGTTATGAGTATAAAATGATAATCAGTCAATTCGCATCTCACCACAAAATCAAAGTTGTTACTACAACGGAAGGGCGCTTGCAGACAAATAGAACTAACCATTTGTGCGGTCATTAGCAACTAATATGGCTTAAAATTAGACTAACGTGGTATAAAAAAAAACTAACATTTCTGTCTACATGTTAGTCTATTATGTCTACGTGTTAGTTCTAATCTGCACAATGTAGCTTACTATTCTGTCACAATGTTAGTTTCTTATTCTGTCTTACAGTGTTAGTTCTAATCTGCACAATGTTAGCGTTCTATTTGTCGCTACACTGTTAGTTCTAATCTGCACAGTGTTAGGTTCTATTCTGTGCGTGTTTAGTTCTTAACGCACTGTTAGTATCTATTCTATACCATGTTAGTTTCATTTTATACAAAATTAATTCTAATTTATATCTACGTTAGTTTCTATTTTACACATGCGTTAGTTCTAATTTATACCACGTTAGTTCTATTTTATACCACGTTAGTTCTAATTTATACCAAGTTAGTTCTAATTTATACCACGTTAGTTCTATTTTATACCGTGTTAGTTCTAATTTATATGCAAGTTAGTTTTATTTTATACCACGTTAGTTTCTAATTTTAACCATATTAGTTCTAATTTATAACAAGATAGTTCTAATTTATAACAAATTAGTTCTAATTTTAACCACGTAGTTCTTAATTTATACCATGTTAGTTCTAATTTATACCAAGTTAGTTCTAATTTATACAATTTAGTTCTATTTTATGCCAAGTTAGTTCTATTTTTATACCACAGCGTTAGTTCTTAATTTTAACCATCTTTGACTAAACATCTCCTTAACAAGCAGCGGCTTCTCATGCAAATTCCAAAAAAAAAAGAGTGACCTTGTGCCTGCAGCCCGCTTCATTTTCACTTTTCTTGGGCATCATGCACTCTTTCTCTGTGTCCATCCTCCTCGGCCAACCAATACTATAGGGTTCAAAAGTGGCAGGCACAACGGCGGAACTCCGACGTAGTCGAGCGGGCGAGACGGGGAGCCGACGACGAGCTACCGCGCGAGGTCGGGCGGAGGAGAGGAGGGGAGACGGGCGACGAACTCGGCGGAGGCTTGGGAGCCTGGGCGGAGGTGGCGACGGCGAGGACGGCGAGGGCCAGAGCGACGAGAGAAAGCCCTTGTTTTTAAAGAGAGAGAGAGAGAGAGAACTGTGTTTGAAGGATTGAGGAGAAAGGATAATGTTATTTTGGGGATTTTAGCTTAGTTGTCATGTAATAATTGTTAAAAAGGGGCTGCAGCACAAAATGTCACACTTCAAGGGGCTGAACTAAATGGGGGAAACTAGAAGGGGCTGCAGCACATGAAGTTTCTGTTTTTGGGGCCTGGACACATTTTTCCCTAGAAGTTATAGGAAATTTTGATATCATCTTATTTAAAAAACTAACATTCTTAAGTCGGAGCGGTAGAACGAGCCAATATGATAATTTTGAATGGTAATTTCTTAAATATCAAGATTTGGGAGATAATTTAGCAAATATTGAACGTTAACAAGGTATATATGCAAAGATCCGTAAAAGAAGGGTTTATTGGAGGAATTAGGGGTGAACACTAATTAGTGCAAATCGTGTATAAGCCGATAGATGGACCGAGATTTCACTAGCTATATTGATTTGAATTAGAAAAACTTCAACTAGGTTCGATTTTAACGTATTTGAAACACAAATAATTGAATCGATTGATCTCAATATAATTGTTTTAAGAACATATTTTAGATAAAATGTAATTTATACTAACATTTTTTAATATAGTTTAATAACTAATAAATGTTTGGTTTAAGTTCGTAAAGTAATTAGTTTGATGAATTTGCTCTTCAACTCGGATATAAAATAAGTGAGAGGCTTGAAGGAGTAAGAGCGTTGAATTTTAATTAAAAATTCTAGAAGTTAACATGTGAAATGCCTAGCCTAAACAAACCAAACCGAACAACGCCTAAACGATTTGATTTTGTTGGGCTTGGTTCGGTTCATTTTGTATTCTCACCCTAATTTTTTAAAGAAATCTAACTGAATTAACTAAAAGTAAATTATTTATTTATAAAAAAATCAATTATGTTAAATCAATAGTTGTTTTTTTTTGAATAAATTGAAAATTGACGGCCAGGCAAAATAGCAATTATTATGATTTTAGAGCTAGCCTATAAAATACCTAAGAATATATGGATATATGATTTGCGGCGCATGCATAAAAAAATGCTTTAAGGACCCAAAATATGGGACCAAGAGAGGGGAGGACATGTGAGGTGTCTCCTCCTTATTGCGCAATGAGCTAGTCATTATAATTTTCGGCACATGCATAAAAAAAAGAAAAATGTCTTAAGGACCCAAAATATGGGACCAAGTAAGAGGACAGGTGAGGTGTGTCCCCTCCCTATTGCATAATAACCTGACAACTCATTATACAATAGGGAGAGTCCCATATTTTAGGTCGCTGTAGCAGCACTCTAGGGATGGCAAAATGGACCCAAAACCAATTGCCCACCCATACCCACCCGCCAAATGAACCATCCAAACCTACCCATTTAGTTAAATGGGTCATAAATGGGTGAGTATAGTTTCTATTAAAGATAAATAGGTCATTAATGGGTGAGTTATTACCCACCCATCTACCCGTTTAGATGGATATTGTTTTAAAAACACCCACAACGCTTAAACAATTACAAAACTTATTTTAAAAAATTAAAAATTATAAAAAACACTTAAAATGACTAACAACCCCTTAAAATTTTAAGATTTGTAAAAAACACCCTCAAAGTTTAAAATATTATAAAAACGCCCTCAAGAGTTAAAAATTATAAAAAAAACTATCAAAATTTTCTAACCTCACAGATGACACATGAAATTTAAAAATTACCAACAGCCCCCTAAAATTTTATAATTTGCAAAGACACCCTTAAAAGTTGTAGAAAATGAGAAAAACACCATCAAGACTTCAAAATTACCAAACAATTTTAGAGTTTTCTAAACTTGCAAATAACATATGAAATCTAAAAAATTTCAATAGTCCCCTATAAATTTAAAATTTACAATTAACACCCTCAAAGTTTTAAATTTTTAGAAAAACACCCTCCATAGTTTAGAATTACAAAACCATCCTGAAATTTCAAAACCTACAAATGACACATGAAATCCAAAAATTACTAGCAACCCCCTGTAAATTTATAATTTACAAAAAACACCCTCAAAGTTTAAAAATTACAAAAAGCACCCTCAAGAGTTCAAAACTACATAACAATCTTAGAATTTTCTAAACTTGCAAATGACACATGAAATCTAAAAAATTTCGGTAGTCCCCTATAAATATCAAATTTGCAAGTAACACCATCAAACTTTTAAAAATTATAAAAAACACCCTCAATGATATATAAATATAAAAAGTAGGCGCTCACAATTCTTCGTCGGCAGGAGATATATGCGTGTGCGGCCAAGTGTAATTTGTCACATGACCAAAGTAAGAGCTTTTTTTAAATAACCGAGCAGGTAGTAAACTAGACTTGTTACGAGTCCATCTCTTCTTTTGCTCAGCCCCGTCATCATTTGCTTCTTTTCCTCACAATTCTGTCCTAATTTTCTCAAGTAGTCGATTCAATTGAGAAATAAATGTTTATAGAAAACCCCCTGAAAGTTTGTAGAAAACCTCCTAAAAGTTTACAAAAAAACCCTGAAAGTTTACAGAAAACACCCTGAAAGTTTACAAAAAAACCCCTGAAAGTTTACATAAAACCCCTGAAAGTTTGTAAAAAACCCCCTAAAAGTTTACAGAAAACCCCTGAAAGTTTACAGAAACCCCCTAAAAGTTTGCAAAAAGCCCCCTGAAAGTTTACAGAAAACCCACTGAAAGGTTGCACAAAACCCCCTAAAAGTTTGCAGAAAACCCCCAGAAAGTTTACAAAAAATCCCCTGAAAGTTTGCAAAAAAACCCCCTGAAAGTTTGCAGAAAGCCACTAAAAGTTTACAGAAAACCCCCTGAAAATTTACAGAAAACCCCCTGAAAGTTTGCAGAAAACCCTCTGAAAGTTTGCAGAAAACCCCCTAAAAGTTTGCAGAAACCCCCCCTAAAAGTTTGTCAAAAACCCCCTGAAAGTTTGTAGAAAACCCCCTAAAAGTTTACAGAAAATCCCCTGAAAGTTTGCAGGAAACCACCNGTCGTTGAGGCGGTTCTTGCGGTTCCACAGAACAGGGCCCCCCACTTGAGAGGGGCCCCCACTCCTGTCTTCCCCTCCCCTGCTCGCCTCAACTCTCCCCTCAGGCCCTCACCAGGTCACCGCGCCTCCGCCCCCAGCCCAACCGCCACCGTCTCCTCTCCCCTCGTCACCACCTCCTCATCCCGCCGCCAGCACCGCCGCCTTGCCTTCCTCCTCCTCCCCCGCTCCACTTCTTAGATCCAGACCCCGAGACCCGCAACCACCCCCACCTGACGGCTGAAACCTAAAAATTCTCATTTTTGCCCCTTTGGAATCCCTAGCGATTGCGATTCTTCTTCGATTTCGTGCTGGTAGCTGATAAATCTCTTGTTTTATTTGTGCAATTTCAAATTTCTTGCAGTTTTATCTTTCTGTTTATTTCCTTGATTTGATTTAAATAATTATTGTCTTGTTTTTGGACAAATTTAGGGGTACTCATTGTTTACTTAATGTTATTTCTAGCTAAACTAGAAAAAGCTGACATATTTTTTCCGTTCATTTTTTTAGCAAAAAATCGGTTTTTTTATTATTTACGGTTGGGTGTTTCCTTGAAATTGTGATTATCACGTGTGGGTTTTTTTTGGGTACAAATTGGTGATCAAATTGGGTTATTTCCTATTTGTGTAGGAGCTTAATTGAGATGGTCAGTGCGAGACCAGTGACTGGGAATTTGGATTTTGGTTTTGTAACCTCGTGGTTGGTGATAGCAAGGGGAACATGGAAGGAATGGCCTTGAATGGATGGAAGGATCTTCCAATGGAACTCTTATTGAGGATTGTTTCGCTCAGTGATGGTCAGACTGTTATCGTTGCATCGGGGGTCTGCACTGGGTGGAGAGATGCAATTTCTGCGGGATTGGCACGCCTCTGCCTGTCATGGTAATGGTTCATCTTTCTCAATATTTTCCTGTTCCTGCTAAATGGAGGTTTTGAGTACTTACTGTGAATTAATAATAACAAATGGAATTTTTTTGCACTTTATGTGAATCGATTATGCCATCTGACGGTCCAAGCCGCCTCCTCCCTTTCCTCCGCCACCTTCCCTCTTCACCGTCCATCGCCTCCCAGTCCTTCTCCCAAATTTAGAACAGGGCCCCCAAATTGTCAGCAACGCCTCTGCATTTAGCAAGTGCTAAATGAGTCATAAATGGTTAAGTGATCATAAATATGCCCACCCATTTATGACCCAACCAAAATCCAATCAAAACCATCCATTTGCCATCCCTACAGCACTCTAAAAAAAATCCCAAAGCTGGCCAGCGACAATTTGCAAAATTATGTAAGGTTTGAGGGCCTTCAGACCAATTCCAAACATGTAAGGGACTAATCTGAAGATCCGAGGGGCTAACAACGTAGGTTTTGTTTCTGATCAGATGAGCCTCTGGTGAGCTTAAGAGCGAGCATGGAAACGACGGAGTCAGGCCGGAACGCGAGGGAATCGCTGGATCTGGCGTTCAAGATGTCGAACATTCTGGAAGCGGGGCTGGATCGGCACACCCTCTCCCTCCTCATCGCCCTCTGCGATCGCGGAGTCAATCCCGAAGCCCTAGCCGCCCTCGTCCGCGAGCTCTCTCCTCCGCAAGATCCCGTCACCGCCCCAAACCCTAGCTCTCGCCAACCCTGACCTCACCCCGCGCGCGCGTTCTCTCTCCTTCCCTCTTTCTCCGGTAAAAGAAACTTTTTTGTTTACTTTTGCAATTTTTTTGTTGTGGCGCTTATTTAGGGTTACAATGTGTATTTTGAATTTTTTTCCCTCTCCCTCTCGTAATGAATTGGATGCTTAATCGTATGAATTGTTGATTTGGGGAAGGGAAAGATGCGATTTTGTTTTCTGTGCTAAAGCGTAATCGTAAAACCCAAATGTTTGCATTGCCAGTCATATTTCTTGTTGTAAAATTTCAGTATGTTTGATGAAATAATAATGCAGCGTGTCTTAGCTCCTAGCGCAATTCCATAATCATTTTGTTATTTAAGAGCAGGATACGTATCTAGTAATTTTTGGGCTTATAGGACATACGAGAAGATTGTAACTCCTAGTGCGATTCGAGGTTATTTGGAATTGGATGCAGAGAGAGTCGAGGTGGCTTTCATTCTCGAGGTAGATGACTTAGAGAGTTTTAGAGGATTCCGTGTATCATTTTAGCGCGATCCCTTCAAGTGCTACTTACATTTTGTATGAATTGCGAAGGAACCTGAGGCGGTTTATCAATGAAGTAATTTTTCCGCATCCTATATCTTCTTTAGGGGGCATTGATAGCTTGTTGTTTAGCTCTGGGTTATTAGCAGCTTCAATTTTGGAGATCCTCTCCCAGAAGTGGTGACTTTCAACTGTAGACTAGGATACCTGTTTACGAAAATTGGATTTTTGAATCTTATCAACCTGGGGAGTGCGATGATCGTTGTGGAAACGGGCAGAGATGGCTGAGGGTGTTGAGGTTTTGATTGGAGACCGACAGAAGAGATACTTGTTGGTAAAATGACTTTGAGGTGATTTGTTCTTTAAGGGGCTTTGAATTGGATAAAGATTCGATAGTGGAGTTAAAATGAGGAAGGTAAGCAGTAGGTATCATTACATAAGGCCCTGAAAGGAAGTGTAACTTGACATCAGTTTTAGGAGAAGATGTGTCCTGAGGATGATTAAATAGTTCAAGGGAGAAAAGCCTCTTTAGCGAAAAACCTATTTAGCTCTTTAAACAGTTCGATCGAGAACGCTGCTGAAGAGGAGGATCTCCTTGGCCTTTAGCTTTCGATACCATTGATGGTGGCCAAGGATGAACTCCTCACCATAGACTGCATCCTAAGTTAACAGAGATTTGCTTGGGGGACAAATAATTTATCTTTACATTCCCATTGCCTGCAAATTCTTAGAGACTACGTCCATCTTTTAGGAGCTGTGGCTATAAATTCAAATTTGCTGATGAATCCTACTGTATATGGGAATAAGATAGCTTTTCCAATTCAGATGAGTGAACTAATGCTCATAATTGATTAGTTAATTACTAAACTCCCTTGCATCATTATATGGCTAGTCAAAAAAAATTACAGGTGAAAATTATTTAATAGATACATACATACATTCATCCACTTATTCACCAATCCAACAACAATGTCATAATATTAAATTTACTTTTCGCTTCGCATGGAAACTTCTGTCAAAAATTGTGGTCAGAACAAGTCAAGCCCAAGAGTGGTATCCCAAGTACTTCTGCATTCTTCGCTGCCTCTGCTACTCAATGAATCTGCAAGAACATAAGAAACGTCAGTTGCTATAATTAGTTAATTACATCATACAAGTAAGACTTTTTGCATACTTACTCCCTTGAGGTTTTGATATCTTCTTCATCAGCATTTGTGTTTACAAATCCAACGATCTTCAAGCACTTGATTGAAGCACATTTGATAGGGTTTTGCAGAACTATTTATTCCAAACATGATGTAAAAACTTGTTAAAAACAAGTAATATAGTTTCTGAGAGATAAAACCAAAGATTTAGGCCATTTTCAGCATGATCACCTCTTTGTACACTCCTATTTCTCCGGCATGCTTTGATATTTCTACGACACAGTGAACTGGAGCAACCTCTGTCACCTGAAATTTTTTATATTTTTTAGCCAATAAAAAATGAAGTTTGTAAACGAACAACAAGCTAAGATTTTTACCTCAGCTGATAGGATTACATGTGATATACTTCTTGATAGCCTCTTCTGCTCATGAATCTTTACCTGAAAATTAACAAAAGTTTATAATAACTTATTCTATTTATCATAAATTAAAGAAACCGCCAATTTGTCATTGAACCTTGGAGTTGTTTATCCTCTCAACAGAGAGGCAGACATCTTTTGCAGCAGCCTCAATCTTTTCCACGAACCTTGGAGTTGTTTATCCTCTCAACAGAGAGGCAGACATCTTTTGCAGCAGCCTCAATCTTTTCCACAGTCTCATCGACAGAATGTGATGATCCTAACTTTGTTTTCTGTTCATAATCATCCTTGAAGAGTTTCAGTTTAAAGAAGGAGAGATTTGATGACAAAAGAGATATCGGTCATGGCTTTTAATCACCTTTTCATGAAAAAGGCCTGAGAGGTCTAAGTCATTAGATAGCGCAATGAGTTGAAATGCATTGATAAAATTGTCAGAGCCAGAGTCTTCTTTTGCTTTGGGGCAGATATTTTCCTGAGAAAACTTGATTCAGTTCATAAAAACATGAATGTAAGTCAAAAATGAATAAATAAATAAACAACATATACGACTACGTCCTTACATTTTCAGCTGTGGTGTTATCATCGAGCAGTCTTGTATCTTTAACATTATCTGTTCCTTCTGGTGGCTGATAATCCATTCGAAACCACTCATCTTCAAGGATGTCTGATATTGTGGCTCTCTACATTGAGGAAAAAGAATAATCTTATTATTTTTATGATAACTTAACTAAGGGGAAAAACACTTACGCAACTTTAAGAGAGAGAGAGGGGGGTAGGGATCGCTCATATCGTGGCTCTCTGCATCGAGGAAAAAAGAGTAATCTTATTATTTTTATGATGACTTTTATGCGCACATCTATCTTGAGTTTCTATTGTATTTTCTGAAGTTTCACACCTATTCCTTACTGAATCACCAACTTCCTGAGTACCGGTGACAATGGCAGATAACTTAATATTTAGATTTTCTTAAATCCCTACATTCTATTTAAATCCATTTGATCTTTAGAGCTATTTATTCCAGACTACTGTCAGTTATGAAAGTTAAACTTATCGATATCAAGTTTTATATCGCATTTCGGTAAATTGTATTCACTAATTTGGTCTAAAAGTAAAGTTAGAGTATACCCTTAAAGGATGTGGTTCCAATATCTTGGAGATCAAGCTCTTCTGAGAGGAGCTGAACCAATCTGGGCAAGCGTACTCAGCTCTAGATATCTTTCTGTACAAATTCATCAGGCTTCGATCTTCAAAGGGCAGATGACCAGCAAGCAACTCGTACAAAATCACTCCGCACGACCAAATGTCTGCTGCCATTCCCTCATACTGCTTGTGTACAATCACCTGCTTGTTACGGATATGCTAAATATTATTAGATGTTATTTTTTTTGTTCCAGAGAATACTTTATAAGGACAAATTTTCAAAACCATCCTATTTGAACACTTAATCCCAAAAAAACGACCTGTTTTGAACTTATTTGCAAAAACCGACCTGGTTTCAGCCTTAGCGCTGAAACCCGGTCGGTTTTTGTGAAAAAGCTTCTGAAACTTCACGGGAGTTGAACTCCCGTGAAGTTTAGCAGCTTTACTAAACTTCACGGGAGTTGAACTCCCGTGAAGTTTCATAGTTCAAATTTTTTTTTGAACTATGAAACTTCACTGGAGTTGAACTCCTGAAGTTTAGCAGATTTGCTAAACTTCACGGGAGTTCAACTCCCGTGAAGTTTCGGAAAAAAACTTTTAAAAAACTGACCTGGTTTCAGCGTCAGAGCTGAAATCAGGTCGGTTTTTGAAAATAAGTTCAAAACTGGTCTTTTTTTTTTTGGATAAAATGTGGAAATAGGTTGGTTTTCAAAATTCGTCCTACTTTATAATGTTTACATTTCATTCAGCAGATACCGACTCCGATTGAGTTTCATGTACCTCAGGAGCAACATAACTTGGTGAGCCGCACGCGGTCGATAACAAGTCACCGGGCTAGAAAATAATAATCCAATTTGAGGCTTCAGTTGAATAATTAAATTTCTAGAACAAATTCTTCAGGGATGATGCGAGGATTATTACCTTTTTCAGCACACTTAGCCCGAAATCAGATATCTTCAAATTTCCCTTGTTATCCAGCAACAGGTTCTCTGGCTGTTTTTTTTTAATATATTAATCACAAAATAAATTCAATAGGAAATCAAGGGTCAAAAAGGAAAAGTACCTTGAGATCTCTATGGTAGACTCCTCTGGCATGGCAATAATCCACAGCATCAATAAGCTGTTGAAAGTATTTCCTTGCCTCTTTTTCATCCAATTGTTTAATATATGACTGCGCATGAAACAGAAAATTGGAAAATTTTTAGACAAAACTTATAGGAGAATATTATTTATAACCAACACCAGAAAACCTCACCATTTTATCGGCAAGTTGCCCTCCGGAAATATATTCCATCACTAGATAAATTTTAGTCTTCGTTGCAATAACCTGGTTTCAAATTTTCTTAGCTCGAGGTACATTAAAAGTTTAGGAAAATACGCATGGAATAAAAAAAATTAGGACTAACCTCGTATATTTTAACAATGTTAGGATGGTGTAGTAGCTTCATTGTACTTATTTCTCTCTTTACCTAAGAAAGAATATTGATAAGCATTCTATTCATTAGTAAATATCAAATTTACGGAGGAAATATAAAATAGTTTTTTTTTCACTCCAGAAAAAAATGATTTTGATATGGTAAGCAATTATGTCCTAGACGAACATTTCCTTGATTATCCTTTTAGGTCCCGTTTGGAACCCAAATTTTTTGGGTATTTTGGGTGAAAGCCTTACATTGTGTCAGGCTTTCACCCTTAGACCCCGTTTGTTTAAAGTTTTTTGCCTGGGGAAGGGGTGGAAAGCTGCCCACCATTTGGCAGCTTTCCGCCCCCCCTCCCCCGATGCAAAAAGAACTAAAACCAAACGGGGTCTTAGAGGCGTTTTAGGGTGAAAGCCTGACACAATGTCAGACTTTCACCCAAAATACCCAAAAAAATTTGGGTTCCAAACGCGCCCTACCAGTACCCCTGGGGCACTCGTTAAGGAGCATTAATTACACAAGAATCGGTGTAAACAATTAGTTTTGCTATATATGCACTACTTCTCTCCTAATAAATGCTTTTAATGGCCTTTTCAAAAATACCAAATACGAATTTTTTTTAGATATCGAGGGCGGGGGGGGGGGGGGGGGGGGCTAAATCCCATTTACCTTAGACAGACATGCTTCACTCTTCAATTTTCAAAGAAAATATTGAATTCAATCTCTTCCAAAGTATTTTTTTTCCTTTTTCTTATTATGCTTCTTATTTGAAGCATCAACATTTTCATTTCTAGGACATGATAGCATTATTACTCCCAACACCCTTATATAATTCACAATTTAATTAGCTCTATTTTCCATTTTATTTGTTGAGATAATTCAGTAGTGGTGTATAAAATGGAGAAAGTTGGTGATAGGTTTTTCCCGATTTACCCTCTCATTTTTGTCCACCACATGCCGAAGAAGTATTACTTATTTGCCTTTATTAATCTACTTACCCACCTTTTATATATAGGGTTTTCCTATAGAGTGCCCATGGGCACTTTATAAGAGAGGAGAGAGATAGAGAGAGATGATTGGGGAGGGGGTCCCAATGCAAATCAGGTGGGCCCCCTCCTCAATCATCTCTCTATCTCTCTCTCCTCTTCTATAGAGTGCAATATTTGGATTGAGATCCTCTCCAATTATGTGGTAATCGAGAAGGGTCCAATTTTCTCTATCTTTACCATCTATATCACTTTCAACGTATGAGATCATGACATGTGAAATTCTAATTATTACAAGTAGTGCTTTTGAATATAGTGGTTTTCAAGCTTGCAAGTGGTTTTTGAGACCATAGTAATTTTCAAGACAACAATAATAGACGGTAATGATTGAAATAATTGGACTCTCTATGATTACCACATGATTGTAGGGGATCCGAATCCATAATATTTTATTGACATTCACAACTTTTAAGGTAGTGATTGGTTATAACTATGAATGCTAAACCATTGCACTCTATGGATGCAATCCAGCATACATAAATTTGCATTGAAAGAAAACGTTGCTTAGTGACCAAAGAACTGTTATCAATTAAAGCAATGCAATAAAGGGTTTTCTTGCTTAAATTTTCATAGTATTCCATTGACATTGGATCCTTTACGTGCGATCAACAATAATGGACAACGTTATTATAGATTCTTTGCCTTTTTCCACTAAATCAAGATAAATTAGTTTGGTAAATTTCAAATAAATGAGCTTTTCATTCTTTTCTGGCCGTGCTAATTTGAGCAATATACATTCCATTGATCCTCTAGGAAACAATATTACAAAAGAAATTAAAGATTCTACGAATACTTAAACCATTTTAAGGCTTTTTTTCCCCTCAAAAAAAAGTTTAAGGCATTATTTTTCTTTCATTTTTAGGCCTATTATTCATAAATGTATTGGTACGTATTAATTTGAATTTGATTTAAACAGATGCAAAAGACTTCAAAAGCAAACATTGTAGATAAGATTCCCCACATCTATTTATCAATTAGTGATATAGAACAATTTGAAGAACTTTACATATATGCAGGAATCATTTCATAGTTCCCTTTAATTTCTATTCTAATTAATATTACGTCCTAAAGGTGAAACCCCTCTATATGAAAGCAAAATCGGATAAAATTGCATCAAAACATAAAGATTAAAACTAAGATAGACGCTGCTCATCAATGGAATCATTTCATTTTTCATCCAAGTACATATATATATATAATTTCTCAAAATAAAGATTAAAACTAAGATAGACGCTGCTCATGATCATCATGACTAACCTGATACATGAGCTTTTTCTTCAATATCATCTTCTTATCTATGACTTTGACCGCGACGAACTGACCAGACTCAGAGTCCACGGCGAGCTTCACCTTTGCGAAGGTCCCTTCTCCGATTGTTCGCCCTAATTGATACTTACCGATGCGAGTAGCAAACCCCATCCTCGAATATTTCTTATTTCTTCATATATATATTTCCCCTTAGTTTGGTGTGTGTATATATATATATATCAATAATCAATTAGGTAGGTTTTAGTCCTCGTATAATTGGGTTGTCGACTGTGCAGGTTGTGGGCTTTGGATGCTTGATGAAGATTTTGAGTATGGCTTTGTGGTGATTAATGGTCCTTAGATTTTGTGGCGGTTCATTTTAAACAAGCTCGATCTCTTGCATGTGGTGTGTATTATACAAATGTGAAATGATGGAGACTATTATATGTATTTAGATGTTAGAGAGAGAGAGAGAGAGAGAGAGAGAGAGAGAGAGAGAGAGAGAGAGGGCGAGCGGTTGAGGCCGAGTGGGCTGTAACCGGGAACGTGATTTGAATGGAAGGTGCATCCTCCTATTACACCATTTTGTAGTAACACCGTTCGACTATTCCCTATTTGCAAATCTAGACTGCTTCCGCTGAAAATCAGGAGAATATTACAGCTCTGTTTGGCAAAACTACCTGAAACCTGCGAGATTATAGCTGAAAGCTGTTAATCTAGCTGAAAGCTGTGAAATTGTAGCTGAAAGCTAATAGCTGTGTAGCTAGCTGATTGACTAGAGCTGTTTGGCAAAAGTAGCTGTACAACTAGCTTAAATTTATAAATGACTAAAAATGACATGCAATATTATTGATATAAAATTAGAATTATTAGGGGCAAAATGGAAGAAAAAATTTGGCAGCTCCTTCCCAAAGACAAACGCTACTTGAGGTAGCTTTCCAAAAGCTACTTGCAAAAGACACAATCTCCAAAATAATCTCCTCTTATTTTTGGTCACCAACTCTGATACCATGATGAGAAGGGAGAAGATGGGAGAATTGTTTTCGTACTGATGATGAAAATGGTTACATGTATATATATACATCAATAATGCAATAATGCAAGAATCATCTAAACTAGGAAAATATATAAAAAGATATCAACACAAATATTTGACCAAATCCTTAAATTGATTGTGCCTAATCAACCAGCTTTTGTTTCCTTCTTTGGATGGATTTGATATCTCAATCAATCAGCACAATATTTGATCAAATCCTTAATTGATGTTGCCAGCTATTGTTGCCTGCTTTGGATGGATTTGATATCTCTATCACAGCTCTACTAGCTTATTGACCAAGTCAATAAGACACAATCTCTTAGATAAGACACAATCTCTTGTTGCCAAACAGTGCCTACGTAGTTGTTTGAACTTGTTTGTGTAGCTTTTTTTTGCTGAGGGATTAATTAGCTCTTCATTTAGATTCTGAGCAAAGAATCAACACAAGACTGTATGATCTAAATCAAGAGTTGATCTCTTTAATCTGTGGAGGGGGACTATTGTTGTTTTCTTGCTGAATACGTGGCTAGCTGTTGATAGTTAGGATTAAAAATCTTGATGTTAATTAAGATCTAGAATCAACATAGATTAAAATAAAAAAAAATGTTAAGTTTTCCAATAGTTTTTTGTCCGTTTTAGAAATTAATTTTCATATTGTAGAAATTTTTATTTTTAATGGTTGAATATTTCTGATGTTTTATTGAACATTCAGTTTAGCTAAAAATTCGGATGTAAGCTTAATCATGGATACGTTATGCAATTTTATAAAGATGTTGTGTTTGGGTTTTCAATAAAAATGAATCGACATAATTAAGTTGGCTATTTGTCACTTTAATCCAAAAAAATTGGCTCGATGCAAGGGAATGGGTCTGAGGCTTTTGAACGTAGAAATTGTGAACTTATCTGAATTGCAAATCTGAAATATATATCGTAACTTTTATGCAAAATCAGGCATCTGTTCACTTTTGAAGTGTCGTCTCGTGATCTATCACGAGGCCCATATGAACAATGTGTGGTCTAGATTTTAGACCATTTTGCTGAACTGAAGGATGCGAATGGGATAAACTCGTTAAGACTACCTAACAATGTGGCAAGTGAGTAATTCAACATGTTGATTGCCACCCTGGTCTCCCCTTAAATTTTTTGAACATGCCTGTTAGAACAAAGTTCTTACAATACTTTTTATTTGGCTAATAACAAACTCTCATTTATTACTGATGATTATTTGAGATGATATATTTAAGATATAAATAGGTATACGAAAGATACTAGGCGAAACGATGCAAAAATCAGCATTTATGTTGATTCCAACCATCACATCATCGATGGTCACCATGACACCATTGATGGTTATGAGTCAATCGATGGATTACAGTGCACAATCAGAGGAAAAAAAATAGAAATAGGAATCAGAACCGTCGATGGACTACAGTGAACTATTGATTGTCAGATATACCTTCGATGGACTATAGTGCACATTTGATGAATTCCAGAAACCATATTTTAGTTCATCGATGGATTACAGGGTAACCATGGATTGTGGATAGGGAACCATTGATTGTCGTGTTTAATCATGGATGTTGATGACGTATTTTGATAGATTTAATGTTTTAATCTCAACTATTCGCGGACCCCTTTCATCTCCAAATTCTACTATGATTTCTATATCTCTTTCCTTTATCATCAAAGCCTATATAAAATATGAAGAGATCATATTTTGGAGAGGTTTTATGCTTTGAGAAAAAGGAAAAAAATTCAAGGTTTTGTGAGAAGAAGATTGTATTGGTGATTTGAACCACCAGGGTCTCATCGAACTTTTTCTCATCGCGTTCAGCATCTTCAGAGTGTAACAGTGAGGAGACTTGCCCTTGGATTTAACATCATCACCCTTTTTTTATCGAGCTTCACTTCCATCTTTCGAAGAACATTTTGATTAGAAAATGGGCTATAAGATCTTTTCAATTTGTGCTTAAACTATTTTGTTAGTTTTTGTTTCATCTTATTCTTAAAGGTAATCAAGCCAGTGATAATTGAGGGTTTATAGCATACTCAAGCTGGTGTTAATTGAGGGCTTACGGCGTATTCAAACCGACATTAATAGAGAGTTATGACTAGTTAGGACTAGGTGTTACTCATCTGTGAGGATTTAGGTTAGGTTTCCTATAGATACCAAGGTGTGGTCTTTGCAAGTACTTTGTGAGGAGGAAGAGTGGATGAAGGATTTCTATCCGAACCACTATAAAAGCTTGCATGATCTCTATTTGTTTTTTTTTTAAGCTTTTTTTATATTATTTCCGCTGTTAATTTTATTTTAGTGAAAATTTGTAACAAACCTTTTCACCCACCCAACACCAATCCCATCTCGGCGTGCATCTCAGTTCCAACACATGTGGTGTTCACCGTATTCATAATCGAATGTAGGCGTTATCATGTTTGTATGGGCATAAAACTAATTGAATGTGAACGAATATGGACGTTGTCACGTTGATCATATAAAACACTAGTAGATACAAACTATCAATACAAACGAAAAGCAAATTTGAGAAAGCAGAAGAGCTAATCCTTAGAACATGTTTGAGAACTTTGAATTATAATCTAATTGGATTAAAATCTAGATATTTGGTAAATTTAGTGGATTGTAAACCATTCTCAATAGTAAAAAAATTGGAAAATAGATGGATCATAATCCTTTATTGTTGTCAAAATACCAAAAAGAACATAGGGTTGGTGGCGCGTTACGAAATGAGATCATAATTTTTGTGAAATCATGAGGGATATAATTGTATTTTATTTGGTCAAACCCCATAAATTGCAATTCACCAAAAATAAGTCAGAGCATCTGACTTATTGTTTGGTAAATTATAAGCCACCTTGACTATTTCTCAAATATACACTTCAAAAATGTGATTTGAGGCAATTTATAGAAATTTTTTTCAAAATAGACCGATTTTGCTAAATATTTAGCAAAACCGATCATTTTGCTAAATATTTAGCAAAATCGACCTTTTTTGGCCAAAAAGATGTCGATTTTAAAAAACATTCAGATGAAAACATAAGGAACTACTAGTCCTGTATGTTTTCAAGGGCACTAATATCCCAAAAAACATACGGGACTAGTAGTCTCATATGTTCTCTGAGAGCACTACTCCGTGATTAGCACACTGAAAACATACGGGACTACTAGTCCCGTATGTTTTCTGGGAGGTGTTTTTTTAAAATCGACTTCTTTTTGGCATGTTGGCCAAAAAAAGATCGATTTTGCTAAATATTTAGCAAAATCGATCTATTTTTAAAAAAATCCCAATTTATATTATTAGGATTGTGTTGGTAATAGATATACCTATTAAAATATTTGGGCTCAAACACGGGCGCCCCGCCCCGCCTTTCCGTTGTACAAGAAAATAAACCTCTAAAATGTTCAGGATTTGTGATTTTTTTATATTGGATAAACGAAATTATACCCTATTCTCATCCATAAGAAAATCTCTTCGCTCCTTGAAAAACAGTGAGTGGGCCGAAGGCAAAGTTAATTGGGGAGACTGTGTTTTGGGCCTGCTTGGACTTTGGTAATGTTTTACATATTGGGCGTTTGGAGTTGATCCAGATATGACCACACTGAGTTCTACACTCTATTTTTTGTTAACACCCGTTAGGCCTTCGGGCTGAGGCCTATGACCGTGGACAGTATTTCATAATTACCGGACTAGCGAAAAGAAGAAACCTTAATTATCGTCATCTGGGCATAAGAAATTAATTAAAAAACTAAAACGTGTTTACCTGCATGTTAATCATAATTTCCATTGCCTAATACAAAGGAAAAGATTCAAATACTTAACATCTCATGAGAATTCCTTGGATGTGACTCCACGAGAAGCGACATATTTTTTCTTTATATTTTTTTTCCTAGTAAACATATATTGGTGTATTTCTTCATGATTGAAAACATGTCGTACGCACACTAGTTCGAATCCCTCTAGGCTGGCCCTGTATACCCAATAAAAGGTGGGAGGGGCCCTTGAATGAGAGCAGGGTGGTGCCCCGTGCAGGTGTGCGTGCTGGGGGATTCGAACTATGAAGCTGGCAGACTCAGAGAGTTAAAAGTTGAACGGACTGGCTAGGTTTCCCTTGTACCAAAAAAATAATA